GAGTGATAGATAAGTTATACGCGACCAGTGTTACGGAGGATAACGCTTATGTGAAACTCTTCAATGATTCAGCTTTAGCGCCCAGCGCGCAGCAGTCACCGCAATGACCGCGCTAATTAGTATCGATAATGGTATTTCTTTTAACGCGCACGTATGAATACGAATCAATAGACTTAACACTTATGCATGTTTTTGTTATACTGCTCCCTGGATGTCTAAATAGATCACTCTGTATTAGCACTTGAAGTGAGGTTGGAGCTTTCGCTCCACACGAAAAACAGTTCATGTATGCCAATAAACAGAGTCAAAATTACTATCCGGTGTCGTAAACTTATATCTATATTTGCTCTCATGTTCATGTCAGTATTGAGCACATCTCGACACACCAGTCATAAAACAACCATTGGATCTATATACAATATATATATAGTTATATAGTATATTATTATAATTATATTATAACGTTTGATAGGTAACGCTATTTACTCAAGAATAATATTGGTTTAAATCGGTGTATTAATCACTATTTCTAGCATTGTATATCATGTACTCCGGAGGATATTACAATAATCGTAGGCAGACGTGAACTAATGTTGCTGTTATAATTTATTCGTCAACGCACGCGGCCCACGCGCGCGCACATCCCACACACAACGTGCACGCACGTGTACACGCACTGCACCGCCACGTGCACCACACACTTACGCATAATCACGCGGCTACAACACACATGCCATCCGCAACACGGTACGCACACACACGCGCGCACAAACGCACGTACGCTACACACACGCGACGCAGTGCACACACACGTGACGCGCAGCGCGCAGAGCACACCAACACGCTATCGCACGCACGCAATGCACACGCGCGCAACAACCATGACCCATGCACGCGCAACACGCAACGCAACACACCATCTTCACGCGCACAACCGCGCGCACGCACGCACACACATCCTCACGCAACACACCGCGCGCCATGCACAGACATCTATACTTACGTTTATCGATGTGCACCGATTCGTGGCCCAGCGCAGGTAATATTCCTCGATTTGATGAGTAATCCGTCGCACTTGGACAAATAATATATCACTCACCGTGTGCGACACGAATGAATGTCGCCGCCCGACCGCGACTCGGCTCGGGTGTGACCCGGCACCGTCATGTCGAACAGTCGCAGCCGACGCAGATGCGGCGTGGACAGTCGGTGTTGCAAGTTGGATCGATCAAACGTTCAGCACGACCATCTGCGGCGTCTGCTCCCGCCGCAGACCCACCCGAGTGATGACGTCACGCATCGTCACACGACAGTCCGGCAGACGGACACGCCGTCAGCGGGTTCGCACGGTGGCGCCAACTCCGCCAGGCAGTGCGAGCAGGGAGAAGCGAGGAGGAGCGTGGTTGGCACGAGGAAGGCGAGTAGGGCCGACGGGTGATGCATGGATCGCTGCAGTTTACCTCGGGGTATTTGATTGACGTTCTCTTCGCAAGCTTTCAACGCGCCGTTTGTAACTTCGCGCGTTTCAGCTGAACGCTCACCTTTTTCAGTCAGATTGCCTGTGGTCACTATTTTGAATGATTACATTCCTAACTAAAACTGCTCCTCTCAAGCGCGGTCTCTGAAAGTTTTCCTGCTGCCCGGCCGCAAGCTGACAGCTGGTGAGATAACGATACTTACCCGCAACATTATAGTTTGATCGCGCCCCATGGCGTCACAGTGAGATCGCACCGTGAGCAGCCAGTACGCTTAATTATGGCGGTCGGTCGGAGTGGACGTTAGCGCACATGCGCATAGCGCTGCAGCAGGGAGGATGTAACGGCCAACATAAATGATGCATGGGACGTACAAGCGAATGCTTGCTTCGGGACGGCGCATAGCACGAGAGTCGATGGTAAGGCAACAGAAAAGGCAGCAAGAGACAACTAGGACTCGCTCCCAATCAGTGAACGCATGCGTTGCGGATGTATAACAACAGTTACGTGTTAGGCTGCCAGCGACGATCTCGATCATTATCATCTCGCCACCTTGGGCGGCTGACTGTAAACAATCGTGCCTATCCGACGTGACCACGTGCTGTTTCTAGGTTGCAGAGTGTTGATGCGGTGTTCTAATAATCTAAGCAACTCTGCGTAGCCTTTCCTCCATCCATCCATCCGTCCGTCCGTCGTCGTGCATGCATGCAATGATACACCATGCATTTTACTCTCCATCCCATCCATCCCATCCATCCTTCCTTTAACATCCATGCCATCATTCATGCATGACATGCATGCATGATCCATCCCTCCATACCATCCATCCATCCAATCCATCATGCATTACTCCATCCATCATTCCATCCATCCACTCCATCCATCCATCCAATCCATCCATCCATCCATCCATCCATCCTTTCTTCATCCATGCATCCATGCATCCATCCTTCCTTACATTAACCAGCCGCTATCTCTCTCCTCATTCTCTCTCTGCCTAGCCTTCTGTCCTCTCTCTGTCTCTCTTTCTCCCGTGTTAATTCGAGTTATCAGAAACGCGCTGCAGCCACCGCCGCAGATCTCAGCTATAGTACAATTCTCATAGGAAACATCGCTTCATACTATCACGTATCACTGGATAATTACATATTCTTCACTTGTAGAATTTCACAGTACAAGCATTAAAAATCTCCTCATAACGTATCGTACAGCCTTGCAATACAAGCAAATGCCCTCGCACATATAATTCTATCTATCTAATATATTTATATATCTATATCTATCCTATATATATAATATAATATAAATATATTATATATAGCCTACACAAAATAGGATGCTAGTCAATTAATACGACGCAATGACATAACTTCTACCCGCATGTGTATAAGCTCCTAAAAAACAAACACCATAAAGCAGGTTAAGCCTCGTTCCCGCTACAGACGACGGTTAGATGATCGCTAGATTGCTACTGCTAATATAAACGCGTTCGCTTTATCTCCCGCTCATGTCGACCCACTCGAAACAACGAACCGAGGCTTTCGCAGCAAAATACTATACCACTGTTATAACCAAGATACATACAAACGCAAACGAGACGTCGAAAGTATTTCGCCGATCGCGCATTGATAGGAATATAATCCACCTCGTACAAGCATGTGCTTCTAGAGTCTACATGAAGATTGAAACCATGGTAATTATCAATATAATCACATTCGCAATAAACCGATTCATACGTATCACGTTTACACACACCTCTCATGCGCGGACAACAAAAAATTTCGGAGAAGGGAGAGGGGAGAGAGAGACTAGAAATGGCAAACGTGGCCTCTTTGGACAGGTGGCTGTTCTGTAGAGGTCAATGCTGACACATTTGTGACTGCATGTAGTCCATGTGCTATTGGGAGCGTGGGTTGAGTTTTGAATTGGCATGACCTTTTCTTTGGCATTGATAGCATAGCGAGTGCACTCGCACTTACACGTGCGCGTGCTAAAGATGACTTCCGAGTGCATTCCTTCATGAAAATCTACAAGCAGCAGTTGCCATGTTATATCTGCTGTTTTTTATGCGGCTTCTGAGTGATTTCTGGTCAACGTGGGTGGTACGCTAAGAAATGCCATTGAATACAGATTGTACGTGTATACATATATATACCTGCCAGGTTGACTTGACTGGCGTGTAATAAAATGCAGTTTGTATTTGTTTAGTATACACCATCCAAGTTGACTACAGTGGAGTGTGATGGAAGTCAATTTTGTACATGTCTCGCTTACCTCCCAGGTTGACTAGGGCAGCCCTTTGGACATTAGGTGCCCAACCTTTCCACAAGCCCCTCACTCCGCTCTCCCTCACAATATTTTTCAGTGCATCAGCCACTCCCTTCACCCTGCGAAACACAAACACCAACATAATTATGGATTAATCGCATCTTAAGTAATGATGAAGTAACATACATCCCAACGTAGGCTCCTTGGCATGGATTTAGACTGGCACTCACTCACCTTAGTGGTTTTCCCTCCAGTCGCCTGCGACCCTCCATCTGCATCTGCACTTTAACAAGATCCGTCGGACTAGCGATGAACTGGGCGGCGCCACCGGCCACTACCCCGCCAGTCACCGCCTTCCTGCGTGAAGCAAACAGCAATCGCATGAAACGATGCCCCATCGCCACGACTGATCCTAGGGCCTAATCCAAGCCATTTTTCATACCGAATACCGGCGCCCAAATTACGAACCCTAGCAAAACGCCCAAACTACAAAATTCATAAAATGCCCAAATTAGCAGAGCTCCGAAAATTGTGGAAATTAAATCTTCATGTTTCTATCGTTATGTAGGCACTGCTTTATAATAAAATGCTCATATAAGATCTATAATCTATTATCTGAATACAATTTTAATGTTATTATACATCTATGGGCCCTAGCTATACCTAAAAAATGTTTTCGGCTCGCTGCGCTCTCGCAGCGTACCCACGCTAGTAACGAGTCTACTTAACGAGTGTGAGGCAATAACAGGTCGTGAGTGAACTAACGCTTAGGAGTCGTTTTGCAATTTCAACCGCATCTGTAGTCTTTGCTATATTTTTTTAAACGATTATTGGCGTGATTATTCATGATCACGATTTTGTCGCGACAACGGAAACCACTTGTGTCACGTGTCTCTCGTGCCGTGTTGCGGTTAGATAGGTAGTTACCAGAAGGAGAATGTTCCATCGTCATTCTTGCCCAGCACCTCCCGGATTTTCTCGTAGAACGTCATGCGACATCCGGTGTAAACTGCAACAAGAGATCAACGTTACGTTCAACGTGCGCATGCAAATTTCGTTAGATAACACTTCCACCTCCAAGTGGAACAACAACAACTACTCTGGATTGAGATACACCAGCCCTTGAAAGATCGCAGTTACTCCTATATAACGATCACTAGTTAAGAGCTATGATAACATTAATCGTTTTTCAAAAAAAAAAAAAATTAAAATGCAGTCATCTGCAATATGATTATGATTTTTTTTTGGCAGTGGGCAACTCTATATGGGCATTCCAACACATTTTCTCCCATCATTTCAGATACTAGTTTCATGACAGAGACTGAGACACAAACAATAAGCCCAAGATAAATCAATAATCAATAATCAATAATCCGTCTTATTAGGGGTTGCAATATGTATGTGCTTACTTTGCTATATATGTCCCATGATACAGACACTGCTATAATATTGGCAACTAGACATTTATGATCAGGCCAAACAAAAAAATAGGTGTGTTTCCGGTCGGCCGACCCTAAACTTTTGTTTCAAAAAAAAAAAATTTATAAATATTTTTTTTTTTATTTGAAATCTGACAGACAAAACTTGAGATTTTTTACTACAAACACGTTCTGTACTTGCTTACTAACTTATCCCTACCTATACACCACTTTATAGCATGCATCAGAGGGATATTAGGAACCGAAGAATAAAAATAAAAATAAAAATAAAAAAAATCCCTACCTACCTACCCTACTTTTGTTTTCGATGCAATAGGAAACACACCTATTTTTTTGTTTGGCCTCTGCATGATACATACCGAGGTGCCTGTATATTGCAGGCGTCACGCCCTGCCATAGTTTATGCAAGCCTTCTTCCTTCACTGGAAGATAAAAGTAATAATGAATACAGTGTTCAATACACTATACAATAGTCGTTTTTGTACACACCTCGTAAACACTCGTCAAAAGCTGAATTGAAGAATCAATTATATTTTGATAGCCATTCGCTTGGCTACTCAGAAATAACTCGAGAAAAGGTAATTGTGTGAACAGTCTTGACAGGCTTCCCGAGTACATTCACACACGTCAGCATACATGTAACTCTATAAAATGAACACCTGTCTAAAAGGGGCACTTTTGGCATTTCCCTCGCATGGCAGTGAAACAACCTCTATGATGTACACACCAGTATAAAATGAAATCTTCTAGCATTTCTCTTACATGGCAGCAAGATGACTCCTATAGAACAAACACCAGCCTATAACAACCAGCTTTTGCAGTTTCCCAAGAATGGCAGCTATATCACCTCTACAAAACGAAACACCTGTCTAGAAGACGTTTATGTCTGATGAAAGAACACATTTAGCTGGGAGGGGGGTGACATCAATTGACTCTCGTGGCGTAGGTTCGACTGCCTACCGATTCCGAGGGCAGTGCGGACCATGCCCTTGTGAGGGACAGTGTCCGTAGCAACGCCATGGTGATGATGGTGAGCAATCTCTCCTTGAATCTGAAGCCTGGTCTTCGTCAAGTCGAGTGGATACGTAGCTGTTTGCAACGGAAAACATAACGTGCTAGTATTAGATTAGTGGCTTAGAATTCTGCACGCTCAAGTGTTTGTTTAGAACAACATGAGTTGTCACACCGTTGACGTAGGTATATTTGCACAATTATTAGTATGACAGAGTGGAGACTCCTAAACACTATCTTTAACTAGGGGGCAAGCTCATAGATAGTGTTGCACTGAATCAGTAAATGTTACTTCCACTAACACTACCAGTAACAGTGACACCGTAACAGTAACACTACAGTACAGTCTACACAGACTACGGGCCTCAATCAATGCCAATAGCAATAGCAATAGCAATAGCCTGTCAATTCCACTATCAAATTCTACAATCAAAATCGGAAAGTCGCCAGAGCTGCCCTGCGCCGAATCGTCGCGTACCACTCACAGGCACTTGGAGCGTTTCAATAAAATATAATGCTAAATAAATACGAAATATATTTACTACCAAAGTCTTAATTACCAAAGGAATTTAACAGCAGACACTGAAGCACTGCAACATGACCTGCAAACGGTACTAGGATGGTCCCATGACTGGCAAATGTTGTTCAATGCTGACAAATGCAAAAGTATCCATTATAGTCACAACAACCAAAAGCATGATAAATACAACATGAATGGGCACATATTGGAGCAAGTACAAGAAGAGAAGGACCTTGGAGTAACCATAATTAACTGAATCCCTTAAGAACAGTAAGCAATGTGCTATAGCTGCCAGTAAAGCAAACAAAATACTGGGAATCATCAATAGAACTATAACATATAAAGACAAAAAAATCATCCTTCAGCTTTACAAATCACTGGTTAGACCTCACCTTGAATATGCTGTCCAATCTTGGAATCCCTAATTGCAGAAAGATATAGTGTTACTGGTAAAGGTGCAAAGAAGGATGACGCGTATAATTCCAGAAATTCGTCATTTTTCCTATGAACAAAGACTAGAGAAACTAGGATTTATAACACTGGAACAGAGAAGACTAAGAGGAGACCTCATTGAAACTTTCAAACTAATGAATGGCTACGAAGTTATTGACCCTACAAAATTCTTTACAAGATCGGAATACAACAGTACTCATGGCCATAGCCTCAAATTGTTCACTCCGCAGGCACGACTAGAGTTAAAGAAACATTTTTTTCAGTTTTATAGTAATAAATCACTGGAATAACCTGTCAGAAGAAGCAGTACAAGCTAAATCGATTAACTCGTTTAAAAGCCACGTGGATGAATATGTCAGGATGGGGGTTTATACAAGACAGTAGTCTTCCTACCCTTTGATCCACTCCAAAGCTACAGGCAGGCCCCTCCCTACATTGCGCAAACCGGGCGCGCCCGCCCCGTTTGGGAAAACTCCCCCCCCCCGTTTCAATCGTTGCGCCACGTTTAAATTACCTCCGCCCCGATTAAATTCCACCACAATAAGTGGAATTGGCGGAATAAAAGGAACAGGCTGAGTGAGTCAGCTTTAGAGGCGCTGCTGCTACTGGCAATTAAGGGGCCACCTCGGCAAGAATTCTGATTCGACCAGGCCCCCGGACACTCCTAGTTCCCCCCCCCCCTGTTTCAATTTCATCCTGGGGAGAACCCTGCTACAGGTGAGGGGTGGAATCAGGTAAATCAGGTAATGTTTCTATACTCTCTTTTACCTATTTTTGCCGACAATTTCCTGTAAATGCCGTCCAAATGCTCATCTGCAACAAACGCTGGCTGCCGCCATCACAGGCACTTGGAGCGTTTCAATAAAATATAATGCTAAATAAATACGAAATCTATTTACTACCAAAGTCTTAATGTTTCTATACTCTCTTTCACCTATTATTGCCGACAATTTCCTGCAAATGCCGTCCAAATGCTCATCTGCAACAAAAGCTGGCTGCCGCTGCACACTGACACTCATAGGGTCTATGTCCCCCAGGGTACTGCCGGAATGTACCCTGGGTACGGTCCGGTATACCGGAACGTACCCTGGTAACTATTTGATATGGTTAGGGTTAGGGTTAGGGTTAGGATTAGGGTTAGGATTAGGATTAGGGCTTGCGTTAGGGAGTAGGCGACTCCCTAGACTCGTTAGTGGAGTAGGCGAGGTACGGTCCGGCATATTAGATAGTACCAGGGTACATTCCGGTAAACCGGACCGTACCCAGGGTACGTTCCGGCAGTACCCTAGCTGGGGGGCATAGACCCTCTCAGCCACACTGACACATAAATATATAGGCATTAGCCTATTTACATAGGCATGGCGGCAGCTAGCTCCAAGAAACGGTCTTTGCTAGGTTTAGAAGACCTTTGTGTATATTGACGTTAGTCACACAGCCTGGTCGGTTCGAGGATAGAGAACATGGGTCCCAATAAAACCAATGTCATTTACATCAATATAAATATAATATTATATCAATATAATAGGTTAGGGTTATTCTTAGGGTTAGGGTTAGGGTTAAGGTTAGAGTTAAGGTTAGGGTTAAGGTTAGGGATAGAATTAGGGTTAGGGTTAGGCACATTCATTGATTTTATTGGGACCCATGTTCTCTATCCTTGGGCCGCCTGGTCGGGCTAGGCGGCAGCCAGCGTTTGTTGAAGATGTCGTTAGATGAGCATTTGGACGGCATTTCAAGGAAATTGTCGGCAATAATAGGTGAAAGAGAGTATAGAAACATTAAGAGTTTGGTAGTAAACAGATTTCGTATTTATTTAGCATTATATTTCATTGAAACGCTCCAAGTGCCTGTGGCCGCCATGGCTGCCGCTACACACCGAGTCACTGACACATAAATATATAGTTTAATTAGTTACATATTATAGGCCTAGGCTATATTAATTATTACTTTACGTTATTTAGCATTATATTTTATTGAAACGCTCCAAGTGCCTGTGGTACCACTGTTAACATACCTGTCTCAGCGACAGTGGCCGCTGCAGCGGATAAAATATATTTAAACCATAGCTGTTCAGAATAGTGGGGAACAACATAAACACCGTGATCGTTGACATGTTTAACGGGCGCCGCCATCGTGACGGTCTCTGATGGTACAGAGGCGACACCTTCCGGAAAGAAATGAGCTAAAATTGATGCCCGGTGTCAACTGTGAGCGAAGTGCAGACTGTAAATAAGATCATAGTCTATGACTCTATATAGAATAAATATTTATTTAATCTTTATTCTATATCTATGATAAGATTTTACCATGCACCCGTGCTGTCAGCCTGTCCGGCTCAAGTTTGAACGTATAAGACCGGCCGAAGAATATTATATATTAAAATAAAAAAATAAAAATAAAATAAAATAAAATATTGGCAGTCAACGGCGACCGATGTCGCAGCGCCATTTGCCCATACATTAGCATAGCTGGGAATCGTGGCGCGATGCTGCGAGCGAAGTGAAGTATGTAGATCAGATTTTACCATGCACACGTGCTGTCAGCCTGCCCGGCTCCACTTTGAACTTATAAGAACGGCCGAAGAATATTATCTTGGCAGTCAACAGCGACCGACTTCGCATCGCCATTTGCCCATACATTTAAATAAGATAAAACATTGAACAAAAACCAATATTTAATCACTCTTATATTTGTCTCGTAGGCAAATTTTGTATTAACGAATGCATAAATAATATCGTGATTTTATATTTAGAATCAGTGTGGCTACAGCCACAGATGTATACAATGAATTATTAAATGTAGTAATAACTACAGTATATATTCCGCGTCACAGGGAAATTTGGAAACAATATTTTTAATTAA